TAAATTCAATTTTATTGAAGGGGTTAAGTATAACTTACTATGAAATTGAGTTAAATGAAAGAAAAAACTAGTTCTTTAGTGATTAAAGAGACTTTAGAAATCGCTTAAACGTGAAATGATTAAGTTTGGGTATCGCTAAATTACTTAAAATAATTAATTGTTAATTTAAAAATTATATCATATTTCAGACTACGATACGGACGTCTAGACAGCTTACCAACTGAATTGATTTTGCGAAAATAGTTCTGTGAGTAGAAAAAAATATAAATATTTTTAAAATATTTATAAATTAAGTATATCATCAAAGTATGTGCAATTATGTAAATTATTTGCTCCATTATGTGATTACGATAAAATTTTCTTTTATTATGATCCATGCGCAATTTCAAGGATTATTTTTGGTATGTTTGTGACTTGGTATGTAATACAAGTGATATTGAGATTTTTTTGGTATGTGAGATATGTGATATTGAGATCGACCAGAAAAGTACCCATAATTATATATTTCTTCTAGTTCACTTATAGACATTGGCCATGTTCTATTTTACACTGAGGGTCTTGAACCGGAGATGAAGGAGTTTTGACCGTATACATATAGTTCACTGAGGGGCCTTGGTCGTGTTCTAAAATTGATTACTAGAGGTTTTGAGATCAACTTTCATTCATGGAGCGTAGGGGCGGATTACATATTTCAGTTAGATGGTACATTTTTGGTGAATTTTTCAGTACGTTTGATGTGATGAGATTGTAGCGTGGTTATCAGCTGATATTTATATCATGATTTTGAGTTGATATTTTACGACTTTATGTGAATATTTCACTTTTGGTTATAATTACATGATGTTATCTTGTGAATTATTAAATGATATGAACTCGATTTTTGATAAAAATATAAAATTGAAAAAGTATAATTATTTTCGAACTTCTCCACTCATTGAGCTATCAGCTCATATATTTTTCCCACGATTTTTCCTACAGGTAGCAATTGATTCTTTTTAGCTAGAAGAGACTAATGATTTCGGAATGAGAGTCACATGACATGTTGAATATTATAACTCATCTTGATGAAACACGAATTAAAAATTTTGGGCCCATCACATTATGTTTTACATAAGCATTTGATTTTGTTGCATTTTTTTGAAATAACTCATAGTCAGATTTGGTGATAGATTTGACATTTAGTCAACATCTATCATTGACGCACGTCATGTTTCGGGTCCACTAGGATGATTTGGAATGAATCGTGTCATTATAGGCTCAGTTTGCCAAAATCCAAATCAACATCAGCAATTAAACGACCCAAAAACTCCATTAAGTTCTCACCTACGATTACTAGATGTTATCTCACTTAGTGACCACCACAAGGAGAGGCAAACCACCAAGAAAGTCACCACAAAGGGACGGTGGAAAAAGCCAGAGAGAATCGGCAGAAGAGAAACACAAAGAATGCTAACGAAACGAGACAAGTCTCGTGAGGCCGTGTATAACACAAGAATATATAGATGGTCCAATACCCAATAAGGTAAGATTATTAGGTTTAGTTAATGGGTTATAGGCCCAATAGAAATTAAATGGTTTATAGAGTGGGCCTCTAGTAGTACTAGCCATCTAAGTAGGTGGATAATCGGCCCATGAGCAACACAATTTAATTGGTTTGCTTCAATGGTCCAATTACTTCTTGGGTCGGGTCGTTCTAATTTTGGTATTGATATATCGTTCAATCATATTATTAATGCCGACTGATCATTATAACTGGGTTTACATCATTACTCGAGAGATCGTTTGACAACAATTTGTCTAACAAAAATAATTAATTTTGTCTAGAAATTTAAATTGTGTGCGTTGGTAGTAGGAATGGTAATCGGGCTCGCTAGCTCATGCCGAGCCTCATTTTTGGGGAATTGGCTCGAGCTGGGCCGGACTGTATAGAAAAAAAGAGGAAAAATCTGTTGCCTGCTTGGCAGCTAAAATAGCTACCAAACAGGCAGCAAAGAGGTGTAAAAAATAAAAATAAAAAAAGAAAACCGATCTTGGCCCGGCTCGGCTCGGTGAGGCCTGAGTTGAAAGCTCGGGCAGAGTCTTCATTTAAAAGCTCAGCCCGGCTCGGACAAAAAAAAGCCCGCCTCAAAAAAATTCGGGGTCGGCTCGTTGACATCCTTAGTTGGTAGCTTGAGAATTTTGTACAACTTTCTTTTTGCTAGCAAGAGCAAATATTATTTGCTATGGTCAAATGTTTGAAATTAAATTAATGTTATAGGTAGATGAAAATGAACTTCTGCATTAAATTATTTTGAGCATGAAAATTGCTGTATTATTTTTTAATGAAGCATCTTTCTTCTATTCCCATTCTAACAAAATGTTTGACGTGTTCAAATTCAGAAATTTGGAAGCCTTGCGTGAAAAAGAAAAATGGTTTTATCATTCTATTGAAATGTCAACTATTTTGAAAGAGAGAGTCATTGAACATTACTGCATAAATATTCCTTTTTGAGTTTTTCATTCACAAGTTTAATTTTGTGTACCTCTTTTTTTTTTTTTCTTTTTTTTAAATGCACAAGATACATTATTCTTGTCTCTCACTCTCTTCAATTTTAATCAGAACAGTTTCAATTCCTTTGTGTCCAAACAAGTGTGTATCATCCAGATGACTCGATTTGTCTGTCAACCCGGTTATAAAGTATCATGTCAGAAGTTCAGCTGGTAGATTATAAAATTACAAAATGATTTATGAACATCACCATAATTATAAAGATTAAGGCGTAATGGTGTATTGAAAATGCTCAAGTGTTTACTCTCTTTGCAATTAAAATATTCAAAGACATATTTGAACCCTGTGAGTTCTATTGAGCATGCTCAAAATTTTCTCTAATGTGATTTTAGGGTAAATAACTTTGAAGCCTTTCTTGATATCAATATATCTCATTCATCAGAAGACGGATAAAATAATTTATTTACACCCGATTTTGTACATTGTTATTTCATTATGTCCAGAATTCGTGATTATCTTTAGCGTTAAATATTTCCTTTGTTGAGATCTTACTCAAAATTCATAGCAGAGCACTTTCTTTCAATTTTTGTAGTGAATGCATCGATCAATATAAGTAAATTCTTCTAATTCCGTATAGTTTTAGATTAGAAAAAGTCAATTACCCCATTATATATATTTGATGTGGTAACCATGAATGACAATTCTACTATTGTAGCATCACAAGATTTATAATATGATCTGGTTTCTTCCGCACTTCAGTACGTAGAGTCCGTGTAGCTTGGTGCGTATCAAATTTTTTAGTTTCATCGCATACTTTTTTCCACACTCGCTAGTTTATTGAAGTGCAAGTTTCTTTCTCTGATATTAGGCCAAATTTAAGTTTTACCTAGTTTGCTGTTCATGCATATATGTTATTCAATCCACAAGTGGGTTTAGAAGTAGACTTCATGTTTCCTCATAATTTACATTCCTGATAAATGCTTAGCACCAAAACACATTAAAGGAAATTGATTTTCATCAATGCTAATATCTGGCAAAAGCAGTGAGAAATATGGGGGAAAAGAAGCACTTTTTATTTTCGTCTGGTATGAAAATTTTGGGATTTATCTATTGCTGCTAATCAACAAGTAAAAAGTGATTTCTGACTGTTTTAAATTTCTCTTGTTTTGCTCATTTCGCCTTTACCAGATTATGGTGCTGTACTTGAACCAGTTTGCATGAAGTTTGGTGTAGCATCAGCTAATCGTGTGCTCCTGATTTTCTTTATCATCGCAGAAACAGCTTTCATTTCTGGTCTGCCATCTGGTGCCTCATTTGCACACCATAGGCCGAGTTTGAAGAGAGATTCCAAGTAGTGAACGGAAATACCTTCATGTTTACAAGAAGATGTCCAACACTCGGTGAGGAAGTGCTGCTTGAACCCATCTCTGAAGATTCAATTCCCCACTGAACGACTCTTCGGTTGGTCTCTTTCCAGTTAGCATCTCTAGTAAAAGTATCCCTAACCATATACATCTCCTTTTATCAAAATTTTTCCTCCATAACCATACTCTTCATTAAGATGGGAAAACGGTTAAATATTTGAACAAAGTACATGATATGATCCAGGAGTCGAGCCCGATGAAGGCAAGTGCGAGACGAGACCCGTTGATAGTTGATGGCGGATCAATGACGCGATCAAGGGCAAAGCAAGTGAAATAAGCGATGGGATTGCTCGTTCAAGAAACCATTGATGGAACCATGTTCGGGACTCAAAATGGAGCAACTTTCATGTTCGGGTCGAAGGCCAAATCAATTTGGATTAATTTGTTATCGAACGACGAAATCGAAGGCTGAAAATAAACCTGTGCGATAGCACAGCAAAAACACCATGCCCGCATGGTGGCATACCGAAACTTAAATTGGGATTTTTTGTTGAACCATGCGACCGCATGGAAATACACCATGCGGCCGCACATGCAAAAAATTTGGCGAATTTTCTAATTTTGGCAATTTTCCATATTTTGTTAGATTCTGATTCTTTTCCATATTTTGGAGATTATGCTCGATTTTTGCACAATTTTTACCTAATTTTTAGGTTTAGTATAAATAGGAGTTTCCATTCAATTTGACATTATTAATATTGAATTAAAGTGAGGCGTATTGTATTCTTTTCATCGTTCTTCATTGAACAATTTCGAACTTATCAAGTGTTAACTTGTGGCGTTCAAACAACCGGATTTAATTCTTGGATTACGTGATCAAGGGGTCTTTCAAGCGTCGTACTTGTTGGATTTTTTGGTTCGACTTTCTTTTGGGTTAATCCTAAATTTTGGATTAATTTGGCTTTTTTGGGTTCGTCAATCTCGTTGTGGGTTTCGTAGTCAGCGTTGCTACGGAGTTCGCATCAGTACAAGCGGTAGATACATACAGAATAAACAGTAATTGCATATTTGCTACAAAGCATTGGGTAGGACTGAATAGTATAATAAATAGAATTTTAGCTTATTTTTTTCTTTAATACTCATCAGTACTATTCAATCTTCCCTATCAAACATGAAATAATTGTAGAAGATAAGTATCTATGTAATATACCTGGTGCTATGTAGCCCACAGATCCCTTCAACCCAATGGTACTACTCTCTGGATCAAGAGATTCGGTCGTTTGTAGAATACGGGCTAGTCCAAAGTCTCCTACATGAGCAGTCATTTCTTCGTCAAGAAGGACATTACTTGGCTTGAGATCACAGTGTACCAGGGGAATTTCACAGTCATGATGTAGATATTCCATTGCAGAAGCAATGTCTTTGGCTATCTCTAATCTCTGATTCAAAGTAAGACTCTGCCTTTGATCATCACTCTTACTGTGAAGCCACTTCTCTAAGCTTCCATTTGGCATGAGCTGAAGAACCAAAGCCTTAAATGTGGGGCTTGAAGAAGCACTCAGGATCTTAACTGGATTCCTATGCCGTATGTTTCTGAAGGCTTTACACTCGGCTAGAAAACTTTTGGATGCTCTATTTTGGTCCATGTTAAAGGCTTTTATTGCAGCAAGTGTTCCATCGCGAAAAACGCCTTTGTACACATTGCCAAAACTCCCACTTCCGATCAAGTTTTCACTACTGAAATTATTCATTGCATATTTCAGGTCATAGTAGGAATATAATCTGTTGGGGCCTTCGAAAGAGATAGCATGCGTGTTTGAAGAACCTTGTATCTTTTTTGACTTCATAAAAGAGATCCTGTAAAAAAGTAGCAAAAGGAAGATGCATATGATTGTTGATCCTGCAATCAGTCCTGCAATTAGCATTTGTCTTGATTTACTAGATTGCTTTGATTTGGCAGAACATTTTGGGAGTGCTAATGTGGGGATGCCACCGCAGAGGTCTGAATTTCCAGACAGGAAAACTCCCGAAGCATTGAGGAATATACCTTCTTTGGGAACTTCTCCTTGAAGCATATTGTTTGAAAGATTCAAGAATTTGAGGTATCGAAGGGTACCCAGCAAGCGCATTGAACCAGTTAGATTGTTCAATGAAAGATCAATAAATTCGACCCCTTTTAAATTTGCAATTGAACTAGGTATAGATTCTCCAAAAGTATTTTAAGATAGATCTAGATACATTAGGTTCTTACATTCCCCTAAGCTGGAAGGTATTGGTCCTGAAAGTCTGTTTTTGGAGAAATCCAAACGTTGAACCATCTTCAAGTTGCCAATCTCAGAAGATAAACTCCCTGTTAGAGAATTCCATGAAAGATTTAGTGAATTTCCTAGACTCTGAAGGGTAAAGATGTCCTTGGGGATGAAACCATTGAGACCATTCAGAGACAGATCCAAGAGTTGGAGATTACGACAATTTGAAAGGCTCGATGGGAAGCACCTGTAAGATTGTTATTATTTAAATGCAGTTCAAACAATCGGCTCAGGTTTCCCAATGCTCCAGGTATTTGACCTGATAGAAGGTTCGAATGTGTGGACAAGACTTGCAGATTTTGAAGGTTTCCAATTGATAATGGAATGTGTCCAGTGAATAAATTAGCTTCAAGTGACAAGTACTTTAAGCTGGCTAAATTCCCTATAGTTTCTGGTATGTTCCCTTCAAATTGATTATCTGCCAAGTACAACACGGAGAGTTGGCTTGACAGGTTGCCTATTGATGAAGGAGTATGACAAAAAATCGATTGCTTGGCAGCGAAAATACCTGAAGTTGGGTGGAGTTTGCAAGAGAAGTTATAAACTCCAACCCATTTTCGCCTTCACTGGAAAGCTGGTTGAGTTCAAAATTCAGAATTCGAATATTTTTAAGATTCCATAGCAAAGGAATCTCTCCTGTGAATTGGTTGCCTGAGAAATCTACTATTTCAAGTTTGGAAGCATTTGAGAGCGATGTAGGGATTTCTCCTTGATAAAGATTATCTCCCACGTATAATTCCATCAAATTTGGCAATGTAGTAAACAAATCAGTAGGCAAATGACCATGGAAACGATTTGATACCACTCCCAATCTAACCAGAGATGAAAGATTGAAAATAGAACTTGGAATCTGACCTGAAAATTTGTTTATCCCTATGTTTATCTGCAGGAGGAGATTCAAATTTCCCAGTTCACTTGGAATTGGACCTTCAAACTTGTTGTACATTAAAGTAAGGTTGTTCAGAGAAGAAAGATTAGCAAATGAAAGAGGAAGATTAGCAAATGAAAGAGGAATATAGCCTGTCTGATTGTTCTTTGCAAAGGTCAGGTATTCAAGCTTTGTCAGGTTACCCAGTTTTGATGGGATTGTACCTTCAAGCATATTTTTCTGAAAGATCAATAACAAGAAGGCTGGGACAATCGCTAAGAGACAGAGGAATACTCCCTTGAATGTTGTTTGATGCCAAGATCAACTTTTCCAAGCGAAAAAGTTTTACTATACTCACTGGAATATGGCCATGGAAAAAGTTGTTCTCGAGGTCCAGAACATGGAGGAAAGACAGATTGCCAATGTTTGGAATGATTGTTCCCGTGAGACTAAAATTCCCGAGTGCAAGTCCAGTGACCCGTGTTTTGTGGGCATTGCAGAAAACTCCTTCCCAATCACATAGGTTCCAAGTGTTTAGAACACCAGTAGGATCATCTGTTACATAAGATTTGAATGACAGTAGAGCATCTCTGTCTGTTGCATTGCTTCTATGAGATCCAAGAAGAGCTTGACACAAAAAAAAAAAAAAAAAAAACAAAAAAAAAACAAAAAAAAACAAAAAAAGAGCAATTGAGAATATGTATATTGAAGGTTCCATGGTACTTAGTACCGTGTGAACTTTCAGTGGTGAGCTGCCTCTATGAATTTCTGCAGTCGAAAGTGGCTTGTATGAACATATCATCAGTGGCTTGATACTTAAGGGATCCGAGTTGAAAATATTCAGCCAAAATATTAGAATTTAGATGTCAACTTACCACAAATTCAACGGAATATATAACTCTTTAGCATTTTTTTATACTAACTTCCATCAATTGAGAGATCCAAGAAGCATCAAGGATAAAGAACAAATCATTGAGTTAAAAATGTGCACTATCCTAATCCTATTCCAGCATTATGTGTTCATAGCCTGGAATATTATACTGATTGATGACTTGGACAAAATAATCTTTGCATTAAATTATTTTCGCAATCTTCTACTATTCTAATATTTGTTATATAAGGTTTGAATGACAAGAGAGTATTTCTCTCTGAATTTCTGGGATCGAAATTGGTTTGTGTATTGCTAGAGTTCTATTAGTATGAACATATCAGAAGGAGGTTTTTGATGCTTACAAGATCGAAGCCAAAACTAGTTACAAAATGTCAATTTAGATATCAACATGCAGTGGACCTAAAAGTTCAGTTGTTTTGACTTGATTCCATCCAGTTAGTGATTCAAGAAGCATGGTCTTGTGTCAAAGTTATTTTTTCCCTTAAATTCATATTGAATCATGTATTTATTTTAATAAGATAAATTTGTACGTCGACCTATAATTTTTCCCTATTTTTCAAATATTCAACTTCATGCGGACTAATTTATATTAGTGTTGATGAAATTTAAGTAACGATGGCCAAATGGTGAAATAACATTAATGTTACAAGTACTAGATATGAGAATATCATTATGTTCAGTTGCATTAAATTATTTGAGTTCTAAATGTTGACCAATGACCATTTTTCTTCTACTCCATGCAGAATTCTGAAAGCATTGGGCTTGCCTGCTACACTCCAAAGTTCCAATGTGAATCAGAGAAATTGTTTGTTTTTTTCTTTATAAGTCAACGATTTGAAAATGAGATTCATTGACCATTAGTGATGGCATAAAATCAACGATTTTGAATTCTTAGCTTCTTTCACGCATGCTGAGTATTTTCCTTAATGTGACTTTCGTAGAAATGCGTAGGCGAAACCTTTTGCTTATATATATATATTATCCGCATTTCTCTTCTACGTAGAATATTTTTGGTTGTGTTTAGAAGGTTCCTAAAAACATTTTTTACTTGAAATTATGTAGGGCAGAGCTGCAATTACAGAAAGAATCTTACAGAACCATTATAGACAACACACAAGTGGGATGGGTGGATGATTTTTTTGGCATTTTTTTATTACACATGGGGCCCACACACTATCTCTATTCTGGCAGACTTCTGTGAGGGAAAATTCTGTACATATGGAATTTTTCAATTATGTATATCTTAGTTGAAATTCAAATAAAAACTCATTCACAATTAAGATCCTAAATTAAGAGTTGTTTGACAAAGATTTTGATAAAAGTTCTAACAATTTTTATAAAAATTGATGAAGGCGTAATTGAAATGCTGATAAAAGTTGTAGATCTTATGAAATGTATAATTAAAAGAAAAAATTTCACAAATAAAGATTAATTATGGCACATTTCAAAAAGAAGAAGACAAGTTTCAAATTTCAAAAATCAAATTTCTATTAAATATTATTTATAATTTAATTAATTAATTAATTAATTTAGCAATTAAATATATTTAAGTCACAGATTTATATAATTTGGTCACATATTATTGATTTAATTCACCACTTATTATTTTTTGGTCACAGATCAGAAATTTTATGTCATAATTATTTTACGGTCAAAATTCAAAAATTTTATAGGTCACAGTTTGTCCATCGATCACAAATCGAAAAATTTATAATTAACAATTTATTTATCGATTATAAATCACAAATATTACAAGTCACAATTTATTATACAATCACAAATTATCGATCACAGATTAACAATTTTTAGGTCACACATTATTTTCTATCACAATTTATCTTTTTCATTAGTTACATTATTTATTGGTCACAGATTAACCAATTTAATGGTCACAGTCGACCAAATAATTTGTGACCACTACCAACACTTACGATTCACAGTAACAATTTTCAGGTCACGTATCCAATTATGAGTCACAGTTGAGAGTCACGGTCATAGTCACAATTTTCATTGCCACCACGATCGCCGCCACACACACTAACACCACAGTTAGGAGTCACAGTCACGGTCTACGACCACCACAACTACCCCCAAATCATCGCCACCACCGTCGTCGCCACATATCAACACCACATTCCTCCACAGATGGCCAACAGATCCACAACACCACACAGCGCCACCGTCGCCGCTACAGACCAACACCACACACCTCCACAGATCTGTAGATCGGTTAGTGATGAGAGAGGTGAGAGAGATCTACACAAATCGCCACACATGCCACCACACCCATGCACCATACCGACGTCGCACATACGCCACCACACCCATGCACCACACTGACGTCTCGATGTTGTAGTAGCATCAGTCGACGACGCTTCTGTAACACTCAATAGCCTCCATTCCAACACACACCACATACCTCCACCAGATCTACAGCGCCACCACATAAACACCTCCACCAGATCTGTAGAGCCATTCCCACCTCAACCACTACAGCTAACATCACCACCACAACCACCGCCACTACCAACACCATATGATTGTAGCCACCGCCACAACCTACAATAGCAATAAACCACTGTCTCATTTCAAAAGATCTACTTCTCACCTCAACCACCACAGCCAACATCACCACCACAACCACCGCCACTACCAACACCATATGATTGTAGCCACCGCCACAACCTACAATAGCAATAAACCACTATCTCATTTCAAAAGATCTACTTCTCCTACCGATCTTACAGATTTGATTCGCGACTGTGTTCGTTGGAGTAGAACAAGAGATAACGAAGTGGCATCGCGCGTCACGCTTCTTGGTCTTGAAACGACCTGTGATGGCGGTGGAGGTCTCAGGTAGCTTTGCAATTCTTCACTTCGGCTGGGTGACTTTCAGATATAGAGAGATAGGCGAGAATATAAAGAGAATTGACCATTTTTTGCAATGAAGACAGGGTCACTACTTACCCATGATGAAGACAGCGATCAGAGAGGAGAGTGGACTGCTGTGCGCGAGACCGGTGGTAGAGGTTGACATCGGAGAGTTGAGCACCACCGATGAAATTTTGAGAAAGAGAGCCCGAGAGTCGAGCTTCCGGTGAATAGAGAGAGAGAGAGAGGGAGGGAGAATTGAGATTAATATAATTAGGGTTTGAAATATTTTTATTTTATTAATATTAAAAAATTTCTGATTTGAAATACTAAACATATCATCTTAATTGAAAATTTCATGAAATAAGTTTAACTAAACAAACACTAAATTGGGAGATGTCTTGACTACACGACGGAATCCTACTTTTTACTTTGTGGAATAGCTTATAGGTTGAACATGGAATATGTCTCAATTAGGTTGGACAAAAGTCTCAAACCGAACTTAAATTAAAGCTTGGCAAAAGTCCTAAAGGAGACCCGAGCTAAGCAATTCGATTCAATTATTTTCAGATTAAATGAAGTAATGAGTATTAGAATGGATGAGCAGGACGTCCTATTTTTTAACCACAACAATTTTACTAAATGGGTATGACTTGATCAATTGATCATGAAAACCCATGATTCCAAATCGTGAGATAGTTCACATGTAGAGAGCTATGGTCAATGATTGAAATTATCCCAAACTTCGAATACACGGCTGTTGGGAATCTACTTAACATGCGCAGCGAAAAATTAAAACAGATTTCGATTCCCACAAGGAATCTCTTTGTGTTTAGATAGAAATTGTGAAAAGATAGTACCTTTTCAGATCTGCAAATTTCATTACTATTCTTTTCGTTCCAGCAATCTTGATTCGTCACCCACAGCTATCCAATTGTCTAACTTCCAACGGTGATCCACACAGAGAACAAGATTGTAGGATTATGATTTTCTTCTTGTGCTAGCAAGAATAATGAAAAATAACTACAAATTTGAAAAACCTAATCATATTTATAAAAGCCTAAACAAGCTTGGTCTGACCCGGTGCAACATTTAATTAACCCATTTAATCAAATTCGGTCCGTGAATTAATTAATCCTATTAATCAATTCAAGCCTATAAATAAGCAACTCAATTAATAATTTATTCAACACTTGTTAAATTAATTAATTGACAAATCACAATCTTCCAGTTCTCCTTTCGTGTGCGACCCATCAAGTTCCTGATCAGGATGCCTAACAACGCGAAATATTATTTTGATCTAATCAAAATTGATAAATTAAAACATCTTTTTAATTTATAACCAATCACACTCACCGCCCCAGATTGACATCTAACAATGTGTCAGTGCAATACATGTGACGGGAAATGTCATGTGGGATGACAAAACCAAACTCGTTCGTTTACTGAAACTATAATTCCTTCGTCAATATGATCTGATCAATTACAAGATATAGAAGTGTGTCAATCTCGATTATCGATCATATCTTTCACTCCACTATTAAGTTAATATAAGTTGAAAACTCCGTTTCGACTTATGAGTACACCTTGGCCAAGGATTTCGTTATCGACTTAATTGAATGAAACGCAGATCATAATATCTTACTATCTAAGAGTGATGAATCTTCTATTGGTCATTCACAACCTTCATATGATTCTTGACAAAACCAAATGATGCCGTATTAGCAGCCCTTGACAAAGCAACATCCAACACCGTCAAAGCACGACTGGCCTCATATAAGATACTATGACGACCTCAAGTCAAAGGACCAATCCCACTACCGAACGTTATAGATTAACCACAGACACTCAGATAGTTATCCATATGGAATCTCTAGGCGGGTCTCCAATATTTTGTTCTATAACAAAACATTCACGTGTTCATTTAAGTGTCACCACACTTTAGCTTGTGAGATGAGCTACTTACTTCACAACTAAGAAATGCCACACGCAATGGTCTATCCGTAATAACGATATCCGTATCTCGTTATTACTTACAACCATGGACGATTTAAGATTCAATCATACGTAATTTGTACCTCACAATCACAACTCCTTGTGATTAACAAATTACGAAGATTTGGATATACGGACTCTATTATTTAATTTAATTGTCTATTAATTAAATAATAGATCTGCCATTAAATTGCATTAATTATATATGAAAAGATTTATGTCCAAGGTTCATTGGACCTAGGGCATAACACTTACAAACTCCCACTTGCACTAGATCCAATCACTTATGTATCCAATATCATAAGAGTCTACATGACGATTATGTTTAAGCTATGACAACTCTTTGTTAGTGGATCTGTAATATTGTTAAATGTGGGAATTTGTTCTTCTCTTTACGCCATTTCTATGTATTATCTCTCTGATGAGATTATATCACCTTAATACATGTTTGGATCATTGATGAGACCTTAGTTCCTTCGCTTTCGCGATGGCTCTATTGTTATCACAATACAATGACATGTGATCAATAATATCAGGAACTACTCTAAATTCATTTATGAACATCATGATCCATATTGCAACTCTTTGCTACTTCTGAAGTAATCATGTATTAGGTTTCTACTATTGAATCAACGGTTGCTTCACGTTTGGAACCTTTCCAACATTCCACTTAAGAGTAAACCAGTTTTTTCATATGAAATCTTTTCAAGATTTCATCTATGTAAATTGGGATGAGTTAGGTAATTTTCTAGATCTATCTCTATAGATCAAATTGCTTCTCCCATATCGTTCATGAATAAATCCTTTAACAACCATTATTTCAACAATTGAAACATAGTGATGTTATTTTCTAATATTAGGAATACGGCAATGCTTCCACTATCTTCTTGTAAACACACAATTCGTTTTCAAATTTGATAAAATGAAACACTTTGACTTTTTCATCAAACCGAAGATTTTAGCTCCAAGAGACTTCTCTTAACCTATAGTCACGGTATGCAACTGTTGCAGGTAAAACCTTAATGAACTTCAACAAGGCTACAGGAGAAAGGTTTCACCAAGGTCAACACTTAACCTTTGCTTCTAGCCTTGCTTTGTATATATGTATATTCTCATCCATATCGACCTTTTCCTTATAAACTATTTACAAAAACTTATAGGTTTTATTCCATCAGGAGGCTTGACCAAGGTCCAAACCTTGTTCACATACGTCGAGTTCATCTTGAGTTTCATGGCCTCTTGCTGTCTCTTTTAAGTCAACACTTGACTTTATTTTGGTGCAACTAGCAGGTTCATTATCCTGGATCAATAATACCTGATTAGTAATCATAGATTCCTACCTTCTTGAAAGTCGAATGATCCTACTAGATTCACATAGAGCTGACGTTCTTAGGAGTCTTTACTTCCTGATCAAGAGTATGTCCCATATCAGATATGGAATCAAACTCGAATTTATCTACTTGGTTAATTATATCTGTGGACTCTTGAACTCTTTCAAGTTCTATTTTGCTCCCACCGTCCTCCCCTAAAGTAAACATTTTCTCTAAGAAGACGATATGTCGTGAGACGAAGAATTTCTTCATGATAATAGAATTTATATTCAAATGTTCGTTTTGAACATCTCTATAAATATATATTTATCGGATTTAGTATCAAACTTATCCGATTCAAGGCGCTTCAAATAAGCGTCATGGCTCCAAACTTTCATATGAGATAAATTGGGACTACTGCCTTTTCATAACCTGTATGGAGTTCTGTTAACCAACTTAGATGTGAAATGATTTAGTACGTTGCACACTGCAATCAATGCATGACCCCAAAATAATTGTTGGAGATTTACATGGCTTGTTATTAATCGTACTATATCTAATAGTTAACGATTCTTCCTTTTAAATACACCACTATGCTGTAGTGTATATAGAAGAGTCCAATGCAAGAGAATCTTATTCTCTCTTAGATAATCTAAATTTTATTTTATTTTTAAGATACTCTTACTTCGATCGGATCTTAATGTGAGGGTATCCTTTCCTATTTGTTTCTCTACTTCTAGCTTGAATCCTTTGACCCTTTCAAGAACTTCATACTTGAATTTCATCAAGTATACATGATAATTGATGACATAAGAGAAACCTCATATGACGTTAATTGACATAGGTCCACATACATCACTATGTATTATGCAAATATTATACAGACATTTCTCCCTTTCAAATAAAAAGAGATTTGGTCATTGTGCCTAATAGGCATGATATGCATTTATCAAATGATTCAAAATCAACTGACTCTACGTATACATCTCTATGTATTTTGAAATTGCATTTCATCTACATGATCAATTCTGCAACACCAAATTTAGGTATTATTTAGATTATCACTACTATGCCCTTTAACTTCTATACTCATTATAGAACGTTTAGTATTTAGAATGTAAATGTTATTTGTAGCTTACCATACTATAAAGATCTTAATTAAGATAAGTAGGAACAACAATTGTCCTTAACATTAAAATAGTTCATGTCTGAACATGAAATTCATTTTAATGTTCCAGTTACAGTGAGTACAAAGTAACATTTCTCTAATTCCAATACTAAGCCAAAAGGCAACAACAAGAAGTACGCTCCTACAGGCAATATAGCAACCTTTGCTCATCTTCAACGTGTAGATCAACTTCTCCCTTTAGCAGTGGTCTACCTCTATTTAGTTTCTTCATATTTGTATAAACATAAGATCTACATCCGGTATCAAATACTTAAGAAACTCATGAAGTAGATGTAAGCCATACAATATCTTCCAATG